ACACTTGGGGAGACCCTGGTCCCCGGATTCTTCCCCCAGACCCCCTCTCAGCGCTTCTCTTGCCTCTCTATGGTTCTGGGCCCTTCAGGAGTCAGCCTTGCATGGAACAAGAGTAATTCCCAAATCGTAGTTTAATATTAGATTAAATTTGTGTTTAATATTAGAAATAAACCTTTTGGCCAGGAACGGTGGCTCACACCTGTAATCCTAGACTCTGGGAGGCCGAGGTGGGTGGATCACCTGAGGTCAGGAGTTCAAGACCAGTCTGGCCATCATAGTGATACCCCATCTTTAAAAAATAAAAAATAAATAAATAAATAACCCTTTTTATTTGCCAAGTCCTTGAAAAAAGTCATTTGCTAGATTTATCATATCAAAGAAAAACAATTCAACACCAACAAATGTAGGACAGAATCTCAGAATAAAGGATTGTTTTTAAAATTTGAGCGAATTTACCTTTATGTAATACTCCCTTTTCTTCCTAGTTCTCATTCTGCTATGGACCAGGGAAATCCCCATCCCAGCCCAGCATCAGTCTCTGCTGGCATGTAGGATCTGGCAAAGGAGAAGGGTACCGGCTTTGGGATCAGCTGGGTATCCCAAGGAGAGACTTCATGTATCTACAGCTCAGTTTCTTTCTTGGCCAGCTACAGCAGCTCACACCTACAATCCCAGCACTTTGGGAGGCCGACGTGGCCTGTGCAACATAACAAGACCCATCTCTCCAAAAGAAAAAAAAATCAGCCAGGTGTGGGCGGTCCCAGCTACTTAGGAGGCTGGGGTAGGAGGATGGCTTGAGCCCAGAAGGAGGTTGCAGTGAGCCACAATCTAGCCAGTGCACTCTAGCCTGGGCGGCAGAGCAAGACCATATCTTTAAAAAAAAAAAAATCAATCTCAGTTTCTCATCCATGAAATGGGGATAATTACAGAGCCAATCTCAGGGGGTTGTAGCGTGGATTAAATTAGATAATGCATATGAAGTAATTAACACAGGGCTCAATAAATGATCCATATTATTCTCAGACTCTGAAATACTGCCACCTCGGGGCTAATGTCTCTCCTTGTTTCATACAAGAGCTCTGGTTCCTTCTCATTCGAACGCCAACCTCTTCCACTGTTGTTCTCTCTCCTCAAATCCCTTCCCCAGATCTTTTCTGAGGTCTCCAAGGAGGAGGACAATTTCTCCTTCTGGGTCTGCCACAACCCAGTTCTTTCCAGGAGCGATACAAAGAGGGTTATTGAAGCCCAGGACCAAGAACACACATACACACACACACACACACACACACACACACACAAATCATAAAGAGAAGAAAAAGCCCAGATAACTCAAATGCCCATCTATGTCTCACCTCAAAGTTAAGATAGCAAGTGAGCCCTTCTTGCTGTGCCAGATGCTGTTCATGCACTTCACGTGGACTAACATATTCAAGTGCCACCATAACCGGAGGAAGTATGACTTCTATTCTCACTTCTGGAAGAGCATGCCAAGGCACAGAGAAGGCACATGACTTGTTCAAGCTCATGAACACCAGTTGGTGGAGGTGAGGGCTGGATGCGAGTCCGTGATTTAATCGCCATTGAATGCTGCCTCTTTCCAGCACTGCAGCACTCTCATCGAATCAATCAATTGATAAGGTATTTAAGGGGCACTTACCACATGCTTAGCACTGTGCCAGAAACTATAGGATACAAGACATTAAGGCTTAGTCCCTGCAAGGATGTAAAGAGGTCCCAGAGGAGTAAGGGTGGGGAAGAGGTGGGGCTTACTCCCATCTCACTGGAGCACCGAAGGCAGAGCGAGAACAACCAGCCACTCAGCTGTGGGAAGGAGCAGAGGTGAGAAGGCCTGACGCATCCTCCGGGTGCTCTGGAGCTCAGGGCTGAGGCTCCGAGTGGTAGGTTCACACCCTCCCTTTGGGTCTAAGTGAGTAGAAGTCAGAAAGTGGAGTCCAGTCAAGGTCAAGGAGAGGAACCCAGTGTCCTGGTTTCTGCCATGTCTCCCCTGCCTCTTCCCCAACCTCAGTGCCCTGCTCTGGGCAGAAGTAGGACATCTCAAGTGTGCGTCTGTGTCTGTGTGTAGCCCCCGGAGGGGAGTGCCCAGCCACTCTCCAGACCCACTGTTCCGCCGTTCTCTGCCAGGATTCAGCTGCACTGAGGGAGTTGAATCCTGGGAATTTAGGAGGCCCTCGGGCCTCTTCCCTTTACCCTTTACTCCCCTCAAAAGCTGTGACAGGAATGCGGCGGGGGGAGCTCTGGGGACTGGCTGGGCTTATTTTTCTCCTGCCCCCACATCCATCCCTCCTCTGGAGGCAGCTCCCGCCCCGAGCTGGCCTGTCATCCCACATTGCTCTGATTAGCTATAATCTTTCTTTTTCAATTTCTCCTCCCTGAGACTAGGGAGCGAGAAAATCTCCCAGAAAATGAATAAATATTTCAATTTTCGGCGCAATCAGTCTGTGGAGCCGGCACATGATGGAAACGGGGGGAAGGATAATGGTTTTCATTTAGATAAGATACAGAAAATTATTTAGTGAAAAATGAAGATTGATGAAGCCCATTGAAATTCTTTAAAATGCAATTTTTATTTCTCAGCCTAGGCTGAATCTCCCCTTCCCCTCGCCTCTCTGCTCCCCTCCATTCTGTGGCCTCTTCCTGACACCTACTTCCCCCATCCCCACTTCCCAGCCACCATCCCTCCTCCCTGATGTAGCGCCCTTCTCCGTTTCCTCTCTCACTGCCCCAGTCCCTGACCTAGAACTCCTTTCTGAGGATGGAGGCTAAGGAAAGGAGGTCCTGCCAAGCCCTCCACCCCCATGTGCGTCCCAGTCTCCCCAGACCCCCACTCCTTCCCTCCTCGCCTCCTCCCCGGTCCCTTGCCAAGCTTCCCCCAACACTCACGAGTGATTTCTCTCCCCTCCTGTCTAGTCTCTCCCTTTCTTTGATATCTTCTCCCCCCACCCCAGATACTTTCATCAGGTCCTGCTTTCACCCCTGTTGGAGCAGGGAGGTGGGAGCTTAGCATTCCCTAGCCCCTCACTCCTTTCCAGAGGGAAAGGCACACAGCACACACTTCTTTCTGTCCCCAATTCAATCCACATGTCTCTCCTGTTTGCTAACTGCTGCTTTTGTTCCTTAAGGCTCATTTGTATCCATGTTGCTGACATGCAAGGACTGCAAGAAAGGGGCAGATGTAAGCTTGCCCCCAACGTAAACCAATACTGACCCAGGGGCCCCCTCTACCACCCCCACCATGGCCCACCCCCCTTCCTCCCCGACACCAACAACTTGGCTGAACAAAGTCAGAACTTAAGTCATCTTACCAACTTTCTGCCAAGTGGCTGGCCTGGCCTGCCAACCCCAGGGCCAGGCCTCCTCCTTTCCCCCAGCACCACCTCCCACTCTCGGCGCACACCAGAGATGTATGCCCCTCCCATATGTGTGTTGGGGGGGGCTGGCATGGGTGCCCTATGGGGAGAGATGAATCAAGACCTGCCCCCACCAACTCAGCCAAGCTCTGCCTTTGGAGCTTCTTTGGCAAGGAGAGGAAAGGTCCAGCATAACACCGAACCTACAAACGCAGGAAGGGAACTGAAAGCAGGGCAATAATGCCTGAGGCTGTTCTCAGATCCATTCCCAGACACCCCTAAAAGAGACCCCCTCCACCATCTGCAGTCGGCACTTCTCCATAGGTGTCTGCCCTTATGAATGTCGGTTCAAGTTTCTTTGTTTGCTAGAGGGTTGGTTTCTGTGCGAGCGTGTGTCCTGTCCTTGTAAACGCCTGCATACATGTACTGTGTGTAGTTGTAACGTTTGGGTGGATGAATGTATGCGCGGATCTGGGGGAGGAATCTGTCTTCCTCAGATGTCTCAGTGTCTTTGTGTATATGTGTCTGCCTCAGTGTGGGGGATGTTTGCGGGAATGTGTCTGTCTCGGTAGGTGAGTAGTCTGTCTCAGTGTCTGTGAATGTTTTACGGTGTCTGTGTGTCAATTTCTGTGTGTCAGCTCCATTTTTGGGAAGGGAAGGAGTTCAGCAGGATTCAATCTTCCTTAGAATCAGACCCAGGAGGCAAGAACCAACTCCCACAGACCCCAGTCCTTGCTGCATTCTGGACCCTTGGTTCCCTCAGCCCTCTTCCCTCCCCCAACCCCAGCCCTGCCCAGGATACACTGACATCCTCACCTCTCTCAACCACCTCCCTCACCTCCCCGCCTCTCCCCGGCCAGTTCCAAATAACCCCAGACATCAACACTTTTCCTGAGCCCAAGTAAAATGTCAGCCCCCTCTCCCCACTGCCCCCGCCCCCGCCCCCGCCCCGGTGAGTTCCCCCCTCGGTATCAAGCGGGCCTGAAGCTGTATTTGGAACTCCACTCTCCACTCAGAGCCTCCGCGGGCAGGGGTTCCAAAGCCCTTCCTCTAGAGGGAGGGGCCCCGAGACACCCCTCCCTTCCTCTAGAGGGGACATCCCCAGGCAGTCTGGAGCGGTGGTTCAGACTCGGTCCCCAGAGAGGGTGGGCTGGAGTAGAGGGATCCCCTTAGCAACATCTTCGAGAGGTGGGACCCAGCTTGCCGCTCACCCCCTCGCCCGAAATCCGAAATCCCAACCTCTTCCCAGCCTTCCCCTTAGCCTGGACTCAGGCGTCCGGAACCCGGGCCTCAGAGGACGAGGGTCGGTAGGGCTGCCAGAAGCTCGGAGAAAGCGTTCGGTTCCCCGTTTTACTCGGACCTCCAGCCCTCGCGGCCCCAATGCTCGGTTCTCCCGCGCAGCCAGAGGAAACAACTTGGGCAAATCAACGGAAAACTCATTCTCCCCAGGCCCCCGTTACTCCGCGCCTCCGCCCCCGGGGCTCTGCGCCCAGACCGAGCCCCCGCCTCGTGGCGTCCGGACCCAGAGGCTGGCCACGGGCCGCCGAGCACCCCAGCACTCCCCCAGCGGGGGCGCAGTGCCCGGGCCCAGGCGGGGAGCCGAGCGTCCGGGGGCGGGCTGGGGGCCCTTACCTTGGGAGAAAGTATCGGAGAGAGTGAGGATCCAGACGAGGAGGCTCAGCATGCTGTCCGCCCGCCGTGCGCCCGCCCGCGGCTGGGGCCCGGAGTTGGCGAGCGAGCTAGAGGAGCGGGCTGGGGAGGAGGGGAGCCCGGGAGCCCGCCCCCCGCCCGCCCGCGCCCGCCCCTACACACACACGCGCGCGCGCGCACACTCACGCGCACAAACTCACTTCCCTGCCCTCCGATTCTCTTTATCTCTCTTTCCTCCCAGTCCTTTTTCTCGTCCCGGTCGCCCTCCTCCTTTAATTATTTCTCCTTTCAAGCTTTAACTCTCAGGGTCTCTTTCGGTTTTTGCCCCCCCTTTCTCTCCCCTTCTCTTCCTTCCCTCTCTCCCCCTGCCTCCCTGCCTGTCTGCCTCCCTCCCTCCGCCTGACGTCTACTCTCCCTCCGACGGCGCCTCCCTCCACGGGCCCTCCCCCTCCCCCCCCCCAACGCTCGCGCACACACACACACCCCTCGCTGGAACTGAGATGGAAGGAGAGCAAAGACAGAAAGGAATTGAGGGCAAAGGCAAAAGGGGTGAACAACGTGACCGTCGTGGGCTCTGGAGCAGGCACGACAGGACCCCTGCCCACCCCACCCCTCCCATTTATAGACGCAGTCTTGGTCGCGGGCTATGGAACTAAGCAGTGGAGGAGGAACACGGCTGAGGGTCATAGCCTCTAGTTTAGAGGATGGGGAGTGTGTGTGTGTGTGTGTCTAGAAGTGGGGTGGGGGAGCAGGGAGTTAAATAAACATAAAGACATTTCTTTTTAAATCCCACACCCAAAGTCTAACCCCTAAATTCCCCAAATTAAGATTTCTCAGTTGACTAATGAAACCTTGGAGAGGGGAGGGGCATACCTGCCTCTCTCCCTACCCACAAAACCCAGAGCTGGAGAATCGGAGCTACCCCTTGGACCTGCCTTGAGACCCTGTCCTGGCTTCACCCAGACAAGGTCGAGCACAGCTAGGCGTTGGAGGACTTAGCAGCCTGGAAGAGGTACACTTGACTCCTTCTTTTGTTCATCTTAGCCTTCCATCCATCCCGATGGAGAAGCTAGCCAACTGGATGGCTTTGAAGGGCCAAGGCCTGGCCTCACTTCCCTGAATGCAAGCCAGAGGAGAGGACAGCCACCAGAGGATCTCTAAGCACGCTGGAGTTTGAGATCTTTTGGGATAGGAACGGAGGAACTAGGAAGGAAGAGCATTCAGGAAGGATCTCCACTTTCTTAAGGGCCCAGTTTGGCAACCAGCTCCTCTTCTCACCCCTAACCAGATGCTTCTGCTCACAGGGTTGCTGGGAATGCTGGAGGGTCTGGACCCTAGGGAATGAACAGAGGAGTCGCAGGAATTGCGCAAGTTTACAGTAATGTGCTGGTCTAAAGAGGTCTCCACCTCCCTCCTCCCAGATACCAGAACTCCTGGGTCTCTAACACTCCCCGCGAAGATTTCTTAATTTCTGCCCCCTGAAAGTAAGTGCATGGCTCTCTGGTGCCCTCTGCTGATATGTAGCGGCCACAGCTCCTCTTTCCTCCACAGATCCTAACACCGGCCTGCGGTCCACACACAACTAGAGGACAGAAAAAGGCAGGAAAACACCCAAGCTCACAAGCCCCGTATGCACAGACCCAGAGAATTCCTAATATGTTCCAAAGCACAGGCAAACACACGGTTTAAGAACAGGGCCATACCTTGTCCAGAGAAATAGGACTGCAATCTCATACATACACAGACACCAACTCGCAGACAAATAGGGCTTTTCAGTTCATTAATCATACATGCCACAGAAAGTTCTTCAGCTCCAGGCTGCTATTTTCCAGTCACCAATCTAGGCTTTGGGGAGACAATAATGAAAAAAGAAATGGACAAAGTCCTTCCCTTTAATGTTCTGGAGGAAAGTGAGAGGCAGTAGAAAAAATATAAAATACACTAGGTTATGGTAAATGCTGTGGGAGACAAAGCAGAATACGGATTAGGGAGAGGGAGAAGGACAGGTAGTCAGAGAAAGCCGTTTTGCTAAAGCCACTTTTGGGCACAGACCTGAAGGAATTGAGGGTTCAGCTACTCAGGCATCTGAGGGAAGAAAGCAGCAGGCAGATGGTAATAGCAAATGCAAAGGCCCTGAGGCAGGGTGCTCTGGACATGTCAGCAAGATAGGCTTTTCTCCTTTCCACTCCACATGATGGGGCATGGAGAGGAAGTCCAGGGTGACCCTGACTTAGGAAAGTATTGTGTGTGTGTGTGTGTGTGTGTGTGTGTGTGTATGTGTGGGTCTTTGTTTGTTTGTTTTTCAGATGGAGTCTCATTCTGTCACCCAGGCTGGAGTGCAGTGGCACAATCTTGGCTCACTGCAACCTCCATCTCCTGGGTTCAAGTGATTCTCGTGCCTCTGCCTCCCGAGTAGCTGGCATTACAGGTGTGTGCCACCACATCCAGCTAATATTTTTATTATTAGTAGAGATGGGTTTTTGCCATGTTGGCCAGGCTGGTCTTGAAACCCTAACCTCAAGTGGTCTGCCTGCCGTGGCCTCCCAAAGTTCTGGGATCACAGGCATAAGCCACCACACTTGGCCTAGGAAAGTATCAATTTTTAAAAAGTCTTTAATCAAAGGAAGGGAATATTCTCAGCTCAGTGCTTCCTGCCTAATCTCCACCTCTGGTATCAGGCTTGATAGCTATTCTTTTTCTTTTTGAGATGGAGTTTAGCTCTTGTTACCCAGGCTGGAGTGCAATGGCGCAATCTTGGCTCACCGCAACCTCTGCTTGGTTCAGGCAATTCTCCTGCCTCAGCCTCCTGAGTAGCTGGGATTACAGACATGTGCCACCATGCCATGCCCAGCTAATTTTTTGTATTTTTAGTAGAGATGGGGTCTCACCATGTTGACCAGGATGGTCTCAATCTCTTGACCTCATGATCCACCCGCCTCAGCCTCCCAAAGTGCTGGAATTACAGGCTTGAGCCACCGAGCCTGGCCCGATAGCTATTTTTTTTTTTTTTTTCATGAGAATAGACTGGGTTATTAAAGCTTTTGGAGTTTTGTGGGCCTTCCATTTTACCTGGAAACCCTAGAAACAGAGGAGCCAAGTCTCTAGTTCACTAGTGGCCAAAACAACAATCTGGCCTGTCTCCTCTGGTCCTTTAGCTCTCTTCTTTCCTCCCCCTTTCCTTTAATTTCAAATCCTCACCAGCTCAGTCCACCGGAAACTCACATCTTTGGAATCTCTTCCATATAAGCCATCCAGCATCCCAGATCCCAGAGCTTAAGGCCCCATAGACCTCAGCCCCAGCTAGTGGTCCTCAGCACCTGCTGTGCATAGCATCTCCTGAGGGCCTTATATTTTATTTTATTTTTGAGATGGAGTTTTGATCTGTTCCCAGGCTAGAGTGCAGTGGCATGATCTCAGCTTACTGTAACCTCCATCTTCCGGGTTCTAGCCATTCTCCTGTCTCAGCCTCCCAAGTAGGTGGGATTACAGGCGCATGCCACCACACCTGGCTAGTTTTTGTATTTTTAGTACACACAATGTTTCACCATGTTGGCCAGGCTGGTCTCGAAGTCCTGACCTCAGGCGATCCACCCGCCTTGGCCTTCCAAAGTGCTGGGATTACAGGTGTGAGCCACCATGCCTGGCCCTGAGGGCTTTTTACAAAACACCAGTACCATGACCTCATCCCTAAAGATGAATTGTTCTGGGGTGAAGTCCAAGCATCAGTATTTTCAGACATAGCCCCAGGTGATTCTAGTAGACAGCCAGGGTGGAGAACTATTCAGCTAAGCAAATCCCTGCTTTCCAGACACTGTCTTTGGCAAGCCTGCACACCACCAAGAGTCCTGCCTGCTTCTCTCCTCTAGCATTTCTTTCTTTCTTTTTTTTTTTTTTTTTTTTAATAGAGACAGAGTTTCGCTCTTGTTACCCAGGCTGGAGTGCAATGGCGCGATCTCTGCTCACCGCAACCTCCGCCTCCTGGGTTCAGGCAATTCTCCTGCCTCAGCCTCCCGAGTAGCTGGGATTACAGGCACGCGCCACCATGCCCAGCTAATTTTTTGTATTTTTAGTAGAGACGGGGTTTCACCATGTTGACCAGGATGGTCTCGATCTCTTGACCTCGTGATCCACCTGCCTCAGCCTCCCAAAGTGCTGGGATTACAGGCTTGAGCCACCGCGCCTGGCTCTCCTCTAGCATTTCTACTGCTTATTGCCAATCTTGTATCACCCTCCCTTCCTGGGGGGAACCCCAATTAAGCTGCCCCAGCTTTGCTCCATCCTCATCTCTCTGACACCAATGCTTACAATTTGGTCTAGTGGAATTAACTGAGTCTCCTGGAATCTAATAACAGAGCTCATCAAACTGCAGACACCCTGGGGCTGAGTCCTTAGTATCAGTCAGATGATCCAAAGATAAACTTCTGTCTTTTACATCAGACTGGACATACCTTCCTAGGACAGGATACCTGCCTCCCCTATCAAACTTGGGGATTCTTGGTGGGGGGCAAGGAATATGCATGTCTCCCCAGTCTGGAGCTCCCTGAGGGCACAGCAAAAGCTGGGTAAGCCCCTCCCTGGCAGAGTAGTTGATAGCGAAGCACATGAGCTCTGAAACTACACAGGGATTTAAATCTAGGTTCTGCCCCTTCCTTTCTGCGTGGCCTTAGACATTTTATGTGGTTAACATCTGTAGTTCTTGTTTTTCTCATATGAAAACGGGGATAACAGCAGCACTTACATTACGGGGTAGTTGTGAGGATTGAGTTCATATCCAGACAGCTCTTAGAATAACGCCAGGCATACAGTGTATGCTCAGTAAATGCTAGCTGTGATTATTTTTCAGTTTTGGAGCTCCCCCAAACAGAGATCTTTTGAATCCTCCTCCTGTGGATTTGTCTTCATCCTCGTGCACAGAGCCCTGCCCCGACAGAAGCAGGCAGGCGCGGAGGCGGAGGAAGTAATCCCTGAGGATGCTACTGCACCTAGAATAAAGGAGAGAAACAGCCAAAGGTTATAAATGGCGTTAAGAGAAATATTAATAATTTTTTGAGCACAAAAGCAAAAAGATCAAGAGGTCAGGGAGTGAGCAGGAAGGCAATTTATGACCATCAGCAGGAGAAGCCACCTTGAGAGACAGAAATGAATTCTTTGTCTCAATGAGGGCTAAGAACAGCAGAGCAATTCTATAAATTGTCCCTTTTCCCCCTAGAGAGGTGCAGGATTGTGTCCCTGCTGCTTACTAGAGAAAGGCCAAGATCCTTCTTCTCAGCCTGGAAAATAATCCTGATCCTAAAAGGAACCTTGAGTCCCCAAGGGTAAGGGTTCACCAGAGGACACCTTGTCTCTTCTTCTGCTGCAGACTATAGCCCAGAGCAGGGAGACTGAGAGATGTGCCCCTTCTTCAAAACTTCTCCCAGTAAAGGGGGCTCTTCATCCCTTCTCCACTCCTGTATCTTATAGCCCAGGTGACTGTGTAAGTCCTTCCAGATAGTCAGCCTTGAGATTTCCTGCTGTTATACCAGTTTATTTCTCATGTGCTCTTTTTCCTTAAGATACCCAGCTTTTGAGAGGTACAAGAAAAAGGGCAGAGGCAAGGCACTGCCTTATGGCAGTGGAAAAAGTCTAATCTGCACTGTGATGGGAGAGAGTGGGGCAAGAGGAAAGACAGCATCAGTCAAAGTACCCCAGAGCTCCCCTTAGTGGCCAAGGGGCCCTGAGCCTGGGTCCAGTTAGGCTGGCCTCTCTGTAGAGAGTATCTGGTCCTATTAAAAAAAAGTGAAGAAGAATTCTGGGCCTGGACTGGTGTTTCCTCATCTCAGTTTTGCCATCTGTGCTTGATGTCTTGCCAAACAACAGGCAGCTCAGCAGTTGACATGCTAGTCCATCTTCTCCAACATCTGTGCGGGGCAAGGAAGGTACTCCAGGTCCCTGATGCGTTAAGACATGACGATGCACGTTTCTGACGTGACGCGTTAAGACATGACGATGCACGTTTCTGACGTGACGCGTTAAGACATGACGATGCACGTTTCTGATGTGATGCGTTAAGACATGACGATGCAAGTTTCTGGTGGCAGGGTCTGGGAAAGGGGTGGCAGGTGCCATGTCTGGCTGTGAAAGTGGCAGGAAGAATCCCCTGAAACAGCCCAAGAAGCAGGCCAAGGAGATGGACGAGGAAGATAAGGCTTTCAAGTGGAAACGAGAAAAGAAGAGCAGAAGAAACACGAGGAGCTAAAAGCGAAGGCCTCGGGGAAGGGGCCCCTGGCCACAGGTGGAATTAAGAAATCTGGCAAAAAGCAAGTTGTTCTTGTCCCTGAGGAGATGGTGACCCCTTTATCTCATCTTTTTTTTTTTTTTTTTTTTTTTTTTTTTTGAGGTGGAGTTTCGCTCTTGTTACCCCGGCTGGAGTTCAATGGCGCGATCTCGGCTCACCGCAACCTCCGCCTCCTGGGTTCAGGCAATTCTCCTGCCTCAGCCTCCCGAGTAGCTGGGATTACAGGCATGCGCCACCATGCCCAGCTAACTTTTTGTATTTTTAGCAGAGACAGGGTTTCACCATGTTGACCAGGATGGTCTTGATCTCTTGACCTCGTGATCCACCCGCCTCGGCCTCCTGAAGTGCTGGGATTACAGGCAAAAGTTTATTCTTAAATGTGCAGCAGTTCCCAGACAAGGCTTAATTCCAGCTATAGGTAGCAAAAGATGCTATGGCAGGGAATACAGATGTTTAAATATGGATAAAATAGGCCGGGAGCGGTGGCTCACGCCTATAATCCCAGCACTTTGGGAGGCCGAGGCGGGTGGATCACGAGGTCAAGAGATCGAGACCATCCTGGTCAACACGGTGAAACCCCGTCTCTACTAAAAATACAAAAATTAGCTGGGCACGGCCATTGCGCTCCAGTCTGGGTAACAAGAGTGAAACTCCGTCTCAAAAAAACAAAACAAAACAAAAGAATAAACTTTTGTAAAAAACAAAACAAACAAACAAAAAAAACCTTACTTCATTAAGTCATTCGTACCATAAATGTGAATTTAAAGTAAAAACAGCTCAGAACCTTGCCAGAGTCTGCTCCTTGGTCCTTGTTCTACCCTAAACTGTGTCACCTGAAATTAGACTAACTCATCTTAAAGAAAAAAAAAAAAGATATAAGGATGCCAATAAGATGCACAACAGCTGGGTGCAGTGGCTCACGCCTATAATCCCAGCACTTTGGGAGGCCGAGGTGGGTGGATCACAAGGTCAAGAGATCAAGACCATCCTGGTCAACAAGGTGAAACCCCGTCTCTACTAAAAATACAAAAATTAGCTGGGCATGGTGGTGTGTACCTGTAGTCCCAGCTACTCGGGAGGCTGAGGCAAGAGAATTGCTTGAACCCAGGAGGCAGAGGTTGCGGTGAGCCGAGATCGTGCCATTGCACTCCAGTCTGGGTAACAAGAGCGAAACTTCGTCTCAAAAAAAAAAAAAAGATGCACAACAGAAATGAGGCACCCTGGGCAGCAATGGAGTTAAGTGGTCCTTTTAGGCCTCCTCCAGAAGGGAAGACGGGAGACCAAGGAGGCCAAGCTCCATGGATGGGGCATGGGTGTCAGAGGACACTTAAGGAAGCAGTGCTGCTGTGGAAGGAGAAAGACTAGGGGCTAGCCACCATAAGGGACTGTCTGCTGAGAAGTATCCAAAACATTTAGGGAGAAATGCTTTGGATGTGTTGAAGCTGCTTAGAGGCAGAGGCTTAGAAAGAATGACCTTGGCAAAGACAGGCTCGCGGTGTGTATATCTACCATGTGTCGGCATTGCCTGCGAATGACTGGGATCCATCCCACACCACCGTTTTCAGCCCTTCCCTCTCCATGAATTCATATTCCAGCTCCAGTGTGGCGAGGGAAGTGTGTGTGTAGGGGAGGGCAATTTATGCTCAACGAACCAGTTATCTCTTAGTAGGTTTAATGAATCTCTCATTGCCTGAGTCATGGGGATTGGAAGAATCCTGCTTCCCGTGAGTAGCCTGATTGAGGAGACCTGCTTAGAAAGAGGGAGAAGAGCGTTAGCATTCAGCGACTTTGGGCAGAGGCCTTGAGATTAGGAGTGGGTATGTGTGGGGCGGGGAGGGCAGTGGGAAATAGACGTTTTGGAAAAAATGGAGAAAGTAATAATGAATTAATAACAAATGGGGAGCTGCAGAGCTCGAGAAAGCATGAAGTCCATTCCCCTTAGAGGTGGTAAAATGGTCTGTCAGAGGGACTAGAACTCAGGCCTCTCAGGCCAAGATTCACCGACGTGTCTTACTAAGTCTATCTTCCCCGCCCCTGCACCCCAGTCTTACTCCAAATGCTTTTATCAGCAGAGACGCTCCTGATACTTAAACGGCTCTGCCCGTTATGTGGCTCTAGACTTCTGTAGGGGTCTGGAAATCAGAGAATCAAGTGAACCGGAAGCAGAGGATACCGAGGAGAAGGGAGAAGCCTCTCAGCTTCCTTTGGCCCTTGATTTTCGTTTTCTTGGATTCTATCCCCAAGCCCAGAGTCTCTTGATCTTTCACCTTCCCCAGTGTTTCCTTGAAGACCTATAACCACCCATTCATTAGATCCATTTCGTATCAGAACTGGTTTACAGGGTTATGGTTTATGTTTTCATCCAAGCTAGAGGTAAGATTGAATTTGCAGCTAGGATTACGGCCTGGAGTTGTATTAAGGACACTGAATATCATAGCAGTTGAAGAGTGAAGTTAAATAAGGTTCATAGGAGTGGAAATAGAAGGGCTAAGCTTACTTAACCCTGACTCTAAGAGAGGCCATTAACTTAAAGCACAACTCTTAACAATGTCACTCCAACTCTTGTAACTCCCGAACAGAGGCCTGCGAAGGGTTTTGGTTGAGATTAATTAATTAGTCCATTCACCCATTCATTCATCTATTCATCCCACAAACGTGTATTAAAAGCTCACTGTATGCCAGGCACTGGGCAAAGCCCTTGGGATATAAAAAAGAATAAAGCACAGCCCCTTGTTGTCCAAGAGCTCATCGTCCGGTGGGAAAGACAGACAGATAATTACAACAGAGTTGGGAAGTGCAGAGAGAATAATGCCTGTGTTTTTTGAGTGTAAAACAGGAGTCACTCAGCTTGCAGGCATCAAGAAAAGTGTCCTAGAAATGGAGATTCAGGATCTTCAGTCAGAGCCTGAGTGTGGCGTTAGATAGCTTCCCTCTCTGGGCTCAGTTTCCTGCTAACTCTGATGCCTGCATGTAATACCCTTTGTCTCTAATACTGAAGTACAAGATATTTTCTAGAAATGCCTTTTAAGGGGTTCCGTCAGAGCCCATCGGGTTTTCTGTAAATTCTCTGTGTTTTAGAACTACTTCCGGAAACTCTTGGTCCATTTCCCCTCAACAAACCAGAGCTAAGATTCTTCCCCAGGCCCAGGGATGGGGACCAATGTTCTGACTCCCACTCCTTTCACCTGATTTGGTGCCTTCCTGCCTGTGACCGCCAAGCTCCAGGGCGGTGGAAGTCCTGTCTACTTCCACTGGCTTTCCGGCTTCTGTGCCAGGGAACAGGCCTTGTGGTACCTGCCAGGCAGGGTCTGGCTGCTGGCTCAGGTGGCATTTCCTAAATGGACAGATGGAGAATGTTGGTTTACTATCTCCCCAGTGCTTCTATTCCAGCCTCCAAGACAGAGCCAGCAAACAGGTCCTGGTACCAAGTCCTCTCTTCCAGGCATTGGCAGTTTCCCTCTCCTACTCGCCTTTAGCCCTGGGCCTCAATGCTTCCCCATCTGTAGGTCCTGCTCATGCAAAGCCCTGGTCTAGGCTTGGGGAACAGATCCAGAGAAAAGCAAATTCAGAGAAATATGTTGTCCTCCAAGCAAAAAACAAAACAGAACAACAACAGATCCTGGCTACTCCTTCAGCAGTCCTCTTTCGAGAATGGCATCAACCTCCATCCTCCTGTTGAGAACAGACATCCCTGAGAACGTACTCTCTCCATCCCCATTCACATTCGGTCAGTCTCCAAATCCCGTAGATTGTTTTTTTCCCCAGGTAGCGGCCTGTTTTCTTCCATCGTCACTGTTACTACCCTACTCCATGTATATTCTCTCCTGCCTTGACACCAGCAAGACCTCTCTGCATAAGCCCAGGCCCAGTAATTTTTATCAAACTCAAATCTCACATTATTCCCCTGCTTGAAACTCACTGGGGCTCCCATTTCCCTTAGGATCTGATACAGCACCTTCCTGTTGGTTCCCAGAGCCTGCCTGGGGTACATTTGCCTTCCCTCCCAACCCCACTACCCTCCACTCCCCTTCTTGTCCTTTATACTCCAACTCCACCAGGCTTCTCTAAGTTCTGGGGACTGGCCATATTTCTCTCATTGTTAGGGTCTCCCTTGCCTGAAATATTCTTTTCTACCTGAGGCTCTACATCAACTTCACCCCCTAAGCTAAGTCTTACTCATCCCTGAGACCTCACACTGAACACCACTTCTCCATAGAAGCCTTTCTAATTCCTCAGACAAGTTAGATCACCTTGTTATTGCCTTCAAGCACCCTCTGTTTCCACTGGTGACATTCAACATGCTTCTAATTCAGTAATCAGTTTCTGTTTCCCATGCCAGGTCATAAGCCCCGTGCAGGTGGAGCATGTACTGGTGGTGTTGACTGTTGTTACCAGCGTGCCTGGCAAAAAGGGAGATGTTTTTGATTCTGAGTTCCACAAAGGATTTCCTGGAGTGGAGAGGAGGCTGAGCGCCATTTTACAGAGTGCAAAGCCACGGGGCTAGCAGTTGAACAGCAGGAGGCTATTCCCAGCTAAGCAGGCATTGGATAAGTCCAGGAAATCATCCTTCCAAGGAGCTGGGAGAAGACGAGCAGAAGTGGCATAAAAGTTTATCTTCTGTTGTTCAGGATGAGTGTGTGGGGGGAGACACTTATTACTGCGAATGTGCCAAGAAAAAAAATCCCAGAGAACAGTGAACAAAGCTATAAATACAGCTGAGCGTCGGGTGACATCACCTGAGCACAGTGCGGCGATTTATGGCCAAGTCACACAGCCCTAAAGTGTATTTATAACGGTGTAACTCACTAGTACTTCTCCCTGCCTGCCTGCCCTCCCTCATTTCCCTGCTCAGTGGTGGCCACATTCCTTGTTCTTCTGATGAAACAGGATGGCTGGGCCAGGCACCTGCTCTGGGGGTGTTTGGCTGCTCTGAAAAGTGGAGCTGTCTCTGCAAAATGTGTATTCAAAAGCGCGCAGTGGTTCTTTGCTTGTTGGAGAATTCTCAACATTGAAGCTGCACATTCCAGGCACGCAAACCCTCTGGCCTTAACTTGCCTTCTAGCTTCATGGACAGCTTTGTCACTTTCCAGCTTTATTCATGTATGTCACATGGACCCTAATCTCCAACCTATTAGTGGTTCTCTGAAGGCTTCAGGTGTTTTATTTTGTTTTGTTTTGAGACCGAGTCTTGCTCAGTTGCCAGGCTGGAGTGCAGTGATGCAATCTTGGCTCACTGCAACCTCCACCTTCTGGGTTCAAGCGATTCTTCCGCCTCAGCCTCCTGAGTAGCTGGGACCACAGGCGAGTGCCACCATGCCCAGCTAAATTTTGTATTTTTAGTAGAGACAGGGTTTCACCATGTTGGCCAGGATGGTTTCGATCTCTTGACCTCGTGATCCAGCCGCCTCGGCCTCCCACAGTGCTGGGATTACAGGCTTGAGCCCCCGCGCCCGGCCGTCTTCAGGTTTTTACCTCCTTAATTCTTTGTTCATACTTTCCCCTTCACATGATATATTTTTCTACCGTAATCTCTGGTCAAAACTCCTCGTTCAGGGCCCAACTCAGACACATTTTCCCTGAGCTGCCTGATGGGAAGGCATGCCTTTTAGTTCTTTCTTTTTTTGAGACAGAGTCTCCTCTCTGTCACCTATGCAGGAGTGCAGTGAGTGGTACAATCTTGACTCACTGCAACCTCCGCCTCCTGGTTCAAGCGATTCTCCCATCTCAGCCTCCTGAGTAGCTGGGACTACCTGCACCCCCCCACCGCGCCTGGCTAATTATTTGTATTTTTAGTAGAGATAGGACTTCACCATAATTAGCCAGAATGGTCTCGATTTCCTGACCTCGTGATCCGCCCGCCTCAGCCTCCCAAAGTGCTAGGATTGCAGGCGTAAGCTGCTGCACCTGGCAGTTCTCTCTTTCCAAAGTCCCTGACTCTCCGCTTCTGGAGGTCACCTGCTTACTATTATCATCATGTCTTTATGTAGCTTGTTTCCTCCCCACACTTTGAAAGCCTTCCCCACACATCTTACTTTCTCCCTGGCCTGTCCTAGGGCAGAAGCTCAGAGCACATTTTTTTCAACCAAATATCTGTCCCTCCTGCCAACCCAGTCCTCCTGAGCATCTACAACATGCCTGTACTATGACGGACATGCTACGGGCATTAGTTTCAATCTTCATAATGACAAGATAGGCATTATCATTCCCGCTTCTTTGTAGGGGAATTGCGGCAGAGAGAGGTGAAGTAGCTTGCCCAAAGGCACACTTATGTGAATGTGACCACAGGATGCTCACCCAGTGTGTCAAACTCCACCCTGTTTCTTCTGTTCCCGGAGACCTTGGGCTGTGTGTTCCGTAGCCTCATTTCTATCCCATATCCCAGGGTTTGTAGTCTCTTCTCAAAGACATTGCACACAGCCAGCTGACAGCCTGCCTCTTCACGGAGAGTTCCAATGTGCTCGTTCAGGCGCTGGGGTTATCGAAGTGGAGTTTTTTGAAGGAACTTTTCAGAGAATGGCTGCTATGAAAAAAGCAGCCCAGGCCCTGTCTATGATCTGGGGGTCTTCTCCTCCCTTGCTTCATTTACATGGGAAAAGAAAGCTCGGAGCCAGCTCAGGGAGAGATAAACGCTCACCTACCTGCCAGCCTCGCTCCTCACGGCACGGGCTCTCCTCTTCAGTCTCTGCTTCTCTGCTCCTCTGCTCCTGGATTTTCTCAGGTGATTTTACCACCACCTCTGTTTAGAGTCTAAATGGAGAGTGAAGCAAGGTGGACTGATATTCTCCTTTTCACGAACACATCACCAAGGGCTCAGCTCACGGAAAGTACAATCTGGAAATCGCCCACGGTGGATGGGGTAGGTGTTGGTAGAGTTTGGCTAGGCTGGTTCCTGAGTTAGGATCTCTTACAAGCTGAGGTTGGACAGTGGGGACACAGGGCAGCAGGGGAAGCAAGCCAGAGGAAGTTAGAAAAATCATGTCTCTCCAGGCCGGGCGTGGTGGCTCACGCCTATAATCCCAGCACTTTGGGAGGCTGAGGCGGTTGGATCATGAGGTCAAGAGATCAAGACCATCCTGGTCAACATGGTGAAACCCCATCTCTACTAAAAATACAAAAATTAGCTGGGCATGGTGGCACGCACCTGTAGTCCCGGCTACTCAGGAGGCTGAGACAGGAGAATTGCCTGAACCCAGGAGGCGGAGGTTGCGGTGAGCCGAGATCGCGCCATTGCACTCCAGCCTGGGTAACAAGAGTGAAACTCCATCTCAAAAAAAAAAAAGAAAGAAATATCATGTCTCTCCAATTTAGCCTGAACCAAGTCACCAAAATGTGGCTTAACGCACTCAGTACCATCCAAAATACTTACCAAGCAATGTGATTTTGTTGAGAAATTGCAATTAATACTATTAGCAATTACTTTCTACTATTGCTCATACTTGAAAAGTGACTCAAAATAATGCTGGATGCTAGAGGGGTTCTCCTTGACCCTCCTGCTCACATAGGCCACTTGGGACCCCAAATTTGGCTGCAGGACACAGCACATCACTTTACACAAAATGTGAAGTGAAGAAAGTTCGTCTGGCTGGGCGTGGTGGCTCATGCCTGTAATCCAAGCACTTTGGAGGCCAAGGCTGGCCTATCACTTGAGGTTGGGAGTTTGAGACCAGCCTGACCAACATGGTGAAACACCGTCTTTAAAAAAAAAAAAAAAAAAAGAAAAGAAAGTTCGCCTTTGGTGATACGGTCTTTCTTTCTTCATTCTTTATTCTACAACCGTGAGAATTCTCCTACGGTTCTAAACTTCCCCCGGTGAATGCATTCATACTAAAATGTGAGGGACTCCATATCCTGCCTCCCCTCATATCCCCTACCAACGTGTATTTTAAAAGAGAGCAAGCGTCGGCACAATGCTGTAACCAAGGGAATACATTTCTGACAGTGTAATTATAGACACCCTTCTGCTTGATAAGGAGGTATATTAGAGAGACCTTCTACAGCCCCCTGAAATTATAGAGTCTGCATTCGGGGGCAGACTTATCATAAAATTAATGAAGCTCACTTGTTCAGGGCCCTCCTAAGGCCCTGGGAGGAACCCTGCTAGAATGTCCACGTGGTCCTGCATAAAAGATGCAAGAGTAAGATATTGTAACCACAATTCATTAAGTCTCATGTCTCTTTCCATTGTAATTTCCTCTCTGCCCCACCTCCCCTCATGTTAGGTGGTAAAGGAGCCATGGGTATTTTGGGGGCTTGGCTAAGTGGAAATTGAGTTGAAAATACATATAGCCTTTTTTTTTTTTGAGATGGAGTTTCATTCTTGTTGCCCAGACTGGAGTGCCATGGCACAATTTAGGCTCACTGCAACCTCTATCTCCCGGGTTCAAGCAATTCTGCTGCCTCAGCCTCCCAAGTACCTGGGATTGCAGGCACCCACCACCATGCCCAGCTAATTTTTTTTTTTTTGAGACGGAGTTTCGCTGTTGTTACTCAGACTGGAGTGCAATGGCACGATCTCGGCTCAGCGCAACCTCCACCTCCTGGGTTCAAGCAATTCTCCTGCCTCAGCCTCCTGAGTAGCTGGGATTACAGGCACGTGCCACCATGCCCAGCTAATTTTTGTATTTTTAGTAGAGATGGGGTTTCGCCTTGTTGACCAGGATGGTCTCGATCTCTTGACCTCGTGATCCACCCACCTCGGCCTCCCAAAGTGCTGGGATTATAGGTGTGAGCCACCACGCCCGGCCTGTATTTTTAGTAAAGACTGGGTTTCACCATGTTGGCCAGGCTGGTCTTGAACTCCTGACGTTAAGTGATCCACCTGCCTTGGCCTCCCGAAGTGCTAGAATTACAGGCATGAGATACTTCACACAACCTACATTTAGGTTTGATTAAAGGGGTAGGTGATGTGGCCCACAATTACCTGTATGTATAGTTGTTGCTAACTTCTGGTTATAGGAATGGCTTCCAGGAATATTCCTGCAGCCATCGAGTTGACTCAGGTATCATCATGTAGATGCAGAACCTGAGGCTGATGGTGACAAGAGCACGTTCTCTAGTCCCTGGACCTGGAAGCAGTATGTGAATTGTATAGAGTCAGAAGCCAGCCCATGGAAAATTCTCCTGATCACTAGACATGTAACATTGCAAGCAGTGGATTGGGTTCTCACTGGTGCTTTATCAAAATGTCAGAATTATGTTTAATAAGGTGGGATATACAATTATAAACATACCATACAAAAGTATTTCCCATTGATTTTTTTTTTTTTGAGATGGAGTCTCACTCTGTGGCCAGGCTGGGGTGCAGTGGTGCGATCTTGGCTCACTGCAACCTCTGCCTCCTGGGTTCAAGCAATTCTCCTGCCTCAGCTTCCTGAGTAGCTGGTACTATAGGCCCCTGCCAACACACACAGCTAAGTTTTGCATTTTTAGTAGAGATGGGGTTTCAGCATGTTGGCCAGGATGGTCTTGGTCTCTTGACCTCGTGATCCACCTGCCTTGGCCTCCCAAAGTGCTGAGATGACAGGCGTGAGCCACCATGCCCAGCTTCCATTGATTTTTATATAAAATTGTTAGATAGAAATTATTCTGACATTAAGAAGTGAATTGTAACATAAAACTCAGATAATCCTCAGAGAGATACTGCAGTAAGAGGAAGAGACAGATTTCTAACAGGATCTTGGATTATTTAATAATTCAATTAATGAAGAGCAATTCATATGAATACATTGCAAAAGGTTCTAATTTCTTGGTGGTTTGATAAAAATAACATTCATAAACTTCATAATAGATCACTACATCTAGGACAAACCGGTTACTATCATCCTTTATAACAAGTATTTAAGATTAGTAACTACATAAGAAAGCCTGAACTGTCCTGAAATCTAACAGCTAAATTATGAAAAAAATTTGCATAGCTTTCTTTTTCAAATTTGACAATCCTAATTCCTGTTATTCTTAATAGAAACAGAGTCTTGCTGTTGTCCAGGATAGAGTGCAGTGGAACAATCATAGCTCACTGCAGCCTTAGACTCCTGGGCTGAAGTGATCCTCCCACCTCAGCCTCCCAAAATGCTGGGATTACAGGTGTGAGCCACCATATCTGGCCTATCCTAAAATTATATATGGTATTACCTAGAGAAATTTTATTTTGCTTATTTTTTTTTCCCCCTTGAGACAGAGTCTTGCCCTGGCACCCAGGCTGGAGTCAATTCAGCTCACTGCAACCTCCGCCTCCTGGGTTCAAGTGCTTCTCCTGCCTCAGCCTCCCTGGTAGCTGGGATTACAGGCGCATGCCACCATGCCCAGCTAATTTCTTGTATTTTTAGTAGAAACAGGGTTTCACCATGTTAGCCAGGCTGGTCTCAAACTCCTGACCTCGTGATCCACCCATCTCGGCCTCTCAAAGTGCTGGTATTACAGGCATGAGCCATCGCGTCCAGCCTCACAAAATTTTAAAGTTGAAACACACTTTTGGCCAGGAGCGGTGGCTTACGCCTGTATCCCAGCACTTTGGGAGGCCCAGACGGGTGGATCACGAGGTCAAGAGATCGAGACCATCCTGGTCAACATGGTAAAACCCCGTCTCTACTAAAAATACAAAAAATTAGCTGGGCATGGTGGTGCGTGCCTGTAATCCCAGCTACTCAGGAGGCTGAGGCAGGAGAATTGCCTGAACCCAGGAGGCGGAGGTTGCCGTGAGCCAAGATCATGCCATTGCACTCCAGCCTGGGTAACAGGAGCGAAACTCCGTCTTAGAAAAGAAAAGAAACACACTTTTAAATACTATCAATAAGAAAAAAACAAATTTTCATCAGCCATGCCAGAGGAAAACTGAATTAGCTTTCTTCTCTCTCTATAAAAAAATGACAGAATCACTATGAAGAATCAATCAAAGATCATGCTTCCAGAAAAACTAAAAAAATATTATATAAGTGTGCTAGGCAGTTAATTAATATAAATTACTATGTTATTTTTCTGGATTTTAAATGATTTTTGATTTGCCAACTCTTTAATTTGCAACTTGTTACGATTCCTCTTCTCATTTTAAAAATAAATTTTCAAGTATGTATCTAATTTTGCATTTATGCTTTCATCTTTTTTTCTGTCAGAAATTGTACGGGGTGGGTTGGAGACCCCGCCTCCAGCTGGTGTAGCTTCATGCCGCATAAAATTGGATTCATCGCCAGGCGAGATGGCTCTTGCCTGTAATCCCAGCACTTTGGGAGGCCAAGGCGGACGGATCACCTAAGGTCAGGAGTTCGAGACCAGCCTGACCAACATGGAGAAACCCTGTCTCTACTAAAAATACAAAATTAGCTGGCAGTAGTGGCGCATGCCTGTAATCCCAGCTACTCGGGAGACTGAGGCAGGAGAATCACTTGAACCTGGAAGGCTGAGGTTGTGGTGAGCCAAGATCATGCCATTGCACTCCAGCTTGGGCAACAAGAGCAAAACTCCATCTCAAAAATAAAAATAATAATTTAAAAAATTGCATTCACTTCTGTCCACAGCACTGGTATTTTATTAAGGTAGTGTTGAATAGTAATAATAATAATAATAGTAGTAACTACAGGGCCGGGCGTGGTGGCTCAAGCCTGTAATCCCAGCACTTTGGGAGGCCGAGGCGGGTGGATCACGAGGTCAAGAGATCGAGACCATCCTGGTCAACATGGTGAAAACCCGTCTCTACTACAAATACAAAAAATTAGCTGGGCATAGTGGCGCCTTCCTGTAATCCCAGGTACTCAGGAGGCTGAGGCAGGAGAATTGCCTGAACCCAGGAGGCGGAGGTTGCGGTAAGCCGAGATCGAGCCATTGCACGCCAGCCTGGGTAACAAGAACGAAACTCCGTCTCAAAAAAATAAAATAAAATAAAAATAACTACAACACCACCTTTCCTGACAGTTACTATGCATCATCACTACCCCCAAGGCTTTACATGAGTTCTCTCATTTACTCCTCTGTGACTATGTCGTCTCCATTTTGCAGGTGAAGGAACTGAAGTCCCAGAAATGTCAGGTAACCTGCCCACGGTTAGGCAGCTGGGAGGCTGCAAAGCTTGTTTCCTCTTTCCGTCTTCCTCACCTTCCCTGACTCCAGAGGAAAGAGCAATGTCGCACTTACTAAGGCATGTCTTACAGAGGGTGCAGCAAAGGCTCAGAGGGGTCGAGTGACCTGCTGGACCATGCACAGCGGGCACATGGCAGCGCTAGACCTCCAGGCCACAGGGCTTTCCCTCCCACACCAGCAAACACCGGCCTCGGTCCAGGCCGGATCGCAGTCGCTCCCTGCTGGCGGACTGAGGCCCGGGTGGAGGGGATGTTCGGCAGGTGTGACCCAACGGCAGCCTGGGGCGGAGGAAGGGGACGGGGACGCAGGCTGGAGTCTCTCGGAGGAGATGCCTTCTGAACTCCGACGTCTCCAGGGGCAGCCGCAGGGACTCGGCCTCCCCCCATTTCATTAACTGGAAAATAAACTAGAGCCATAAAGGGCTGGGGGAAGGGGAGGCCCCTAGCCCAGCTGCCGCGGGGTCGAGGGTCGAGGGGAGAGGGGCGACGTGCCGAGTGGCGGAAAGCAGGGGAGGAAGCGCAGCCTGGCGCGCAGCCCCTCCGCACCCTCAGAGCCGCCCACCCCCCGTCCCAGTTTGCACCGAGGACGCCGTGGAGCCAGAGAACTTCCCGGAGCTGGGGGGAATATTTTCCTTCGGAATCACTCCACTCAGCTCTGTGGACACAATGGGCCGTCAGATGGCGGGGAGGGACTGGGGCAGCCCGGCACCGTCCCCTCCTTGGAGACAAACCTTCTGCTCCCTGAACAGAACAGAGGCACATTGAGAGTGTGGCTGTGGGGGAAATGGGCTGGCCCAGGGGAAAATGGGATTTTAAGAGAGAGAAATGAGACTTTCTGTCTTCTGCAATCCCCCCTCCACACAAAGTTGCTAGCTCCTGTTTTGAAAGCACCCACCCCTTTCATTTTGTCACAGGATCCCCCTGAGCTGTGCTACCCCAGTGCCACCCCGATACCACCCACCTCTGTCCTCCAAGCTCACCCCTTTCCTAGCAAAGCGGTTTCCACTGCCCTCCAGTCCCCTTCTGTGTTATAATTTTCTAGAGCTACGATAACAAAGTAGCACAGACTGAGCGGCTTAAACGACAATAGTGGCCTGGCGTGGTGGCTCACTTCTGTAACCCCAGCACTTTGGGAGGCTGAGGCAGGTGGATCGCCTGAGGTCAGGAGTTCAAGACCAGCTAGCCGACATGGTGAAACCCCGTCTCTACCAAAAATACAAAAAAATTAGCCAGGGGTGGTGGCGGGTGCCCGTAATCCCAGCTACTTGGGAGGCTGGGGCAGGAGAATCACTTGAACCCAGGAGGTGGAAGTTGCAGTGAGCTGAGATCATGCTATTGCACTCCAGCCTGGTTGAAAGAGCAAGATCCTGTTTCAAAAATAAATAAAATTAAATTAAAAAACAATAGTTTATTTTCTCCTAGCTCTGGAGGCTAGAAGTTCCAAGTCAAGGTGTTGGGAGGGCTAGTTCTTTCTGAGGTGTCCTTGACTTGTAGACGGCCTCTTGACTCTGTGTCCTCACATGGTCTTCCCTCTCTGCATACCTGTGTCCTAATTTCCTCTTCTTCTTCTTTTTTTTTTTTTGAGACGGAGTTTCGCAGTTGCTATCCAGACTGGAGTGCAATGGCACGATCTTGGCTCACCACCACCTCCGCCTCCTGGGTTCATGCAATTCCCCTGCCTCAGCCTCCTGAGTAGCTGGGACTACAGGCGCGCACCACCATGCCCAGGTAATTTTTGTATTTTTAGTAGAGACGGGGTTTCACCTTGTTGACCAGGATGGTCTCGATCTCTTGACCTCGTGATCCACCCACCTCGGCCTCCCAAAGTGCTGGGATTACAGGCGTGAGCCACCGCGCCCGGCCTTAATTTCCTCTTCTTATAAGAACATCAGTCAGATTAGGACCCAGTTTAATGACCTCATTTTAACTTAAAGACCATATCCCCAAAAATAGTCAATTGTGAGTTACTGGGGTCAGGACTTCAACAGATGAATTCTAGGAGACCCAATTCAGCCCATAACACCTTGTATGTCTAGACAGTGTGCCACCAAATCCTGCAGGTCGCAAGATTACCCTAGACTGGATGCTGTGGCACGCACCTACGCACCGTAACACCTCTCCTGCTTTCCCCCCCCCGTAACACCTCTCCTGCTTTTCCCCCCCCGTAACACCTCTCCTGCTTTTTTCCCACGTCTGGGCCCTTTCCCAGCTACCTGGCCACACAGGCCCAAGTAACCTGGCAAATGTAACCTAGTATGCAGGGTTATCAACCTCCTGGTCCCGAGAGCAAAGCTGGCCTCTGGCTTCTTTCTCTGTGATTTGGGGGCTGCCTATTGTCAAATCACAGCTCTTCAGTTTCTTTGGTCCTTTAGAAATCAATTCCCACCTTCTCTCCTGCCCCTAATGTTTCAGTACCTTTAAATACTTCATTTTGACTAGTTCAAAGTTTCCAAAAAATGACACAAAACAGAATACATCGAGGAGTCTTCTTCCTACCACCTCCACCTACCCTGTTTCTTCCCCCACCCCACCCCTTACAGGGAGTAGGTTTAATTAGCTTCTGCTGTGTCTTCCCAGTGTTTATGCAAAGAGAAGCCCCTGTAGATGCATATGTGCCTA